TGCAAGCAGGGAGTAGAAGAGATCCAAGCTCAGCAACGCTGCCCCGCTGTACGTTAGACACTTCTGGGAAATAAATGAAAGGTTTGTTTGTTTTTAGTGTGATGGGTGTATTTTCAATCATCTAAGAAGCCTCCTGAGACCATAAGGACCCAGAAGAACCTAGATCTATGTAGAAAGTCAGAGTGGGTGGGGAAGCCGGTTGACAAACCACTAGAATTTGGGTGTGTGCACCAGGATGATTCAAAGGGTTTCTTAAAATAGCAGTTTTAAATGTGAAACCCATCTTTCATTTGTCTGAGTCTCTATGCTAACACAATTATTTAATCAACTCCGAGCTTCCTGGCAGGCAGAGGAAAACAAGTATTTTACTCTATATTATTGTATTTATTTCTATACTATAAGCTGCCCCCCCCACCTCAGTTTCTAAAAGATTGAGATGGATAACTTGTCAGACTCTTAGACTCAGATACTTTGATTTGAAGATACAGGGTCTCTTTTAAAGAATGTTAGGCTTGTATCTCAACAAATTTTAAAAAGGACTTTAAAGGAAACAAGGACAATTTTATTGAAGCTTCAGAGGAAACAACAATGCAGGCAACTTGCAGAACTTGGTAGCTCATGGTATATGAAAGATGGAAAAAGAGAAAAAAGCTAATTTTTTTTTTCAGTCAAGAGATGGAGGAAGCAGACAGGGCCAGCAATGGAATTTTGCTAGCCATTGCATGAGGGTAGGTGGACACCGCCCCTCCCCCCAGCACATGTATGCATGAAGAGAGGGGGGAGAAAGAGAGAGGAAGGAGGAGGAGGAGAGAGACAGACAGAGAGAGAGAGAGAGAGAGAGAGAGAGAGAGAGAGAGAGAGAGAGAGAAGAGTGTCAGGGTTCTGGCCAAAGTCTAAATAAAAAGAGATTAAATGAAGAAAAGAAAAAAATGCTTCCTAAGTTAGAACTCAGAAAGTGGGTGGGCTTAGCAGTGAGGTTGTGTAAACAATTGCATAAAGGGAGGGTCTTTGGGGGCCATATAATTATACACCTCATTAAGGGGACAGTCATTCCTCAAGTCTTTTAAAGATGTTTTTAGGTGTGTCTTGGGAATGTAAAGCAGGACTTTTCTCCTTGTCTCCTCACTTTTCTTTTTGTCTCCTCCTCTGAGCAAGAGATACCCCTTCTGTCTCCAGCAAAGGGTATTATCAGTTATTGCCAAAACCATTTGTGAAGTGGATTACTGACCAAGGGACCATGGAGTTTGTGTCAGGAGATGCCACTGCACTGGTATTCATCTGTCTCAGAGAAGTCTCCAGATATGGGAGGCAACTGCTGTCAGTGATGAAAAGGATATCAACCATGTAAATGTCATTTTTACCAGAGGAAGATGGCCTTGATAAGCATGTGTCCCAAATGGTTCCTGAGAAGCAGCTGGCTGCCAATGGCCCCTTTTAGGCCTTTTCTCTCTGCCTAGCATTCCCCTCTCAAAACCAATTCTTCAGGAAGGACCAATGCTTTCCTGCTTCTCAGTTCTTCAGTCTAACAGTCTCCCATCTGAGCCATGTGGGCTACATCACCACTAGGACAAAAGCAACCAATAGTCTACTCATCCATGAAGCCTATGGCCCTCAACAATGACCAGCATGAAAAGATGACCCCGAGAATGCAGTAATGACACCTATTAGGGACAACCAGTAGCCTTCTAACTGGACTTAAAGACTGTGCACAAGGAAGGAATTCATGCTTGGTACTGTAAACCTAGCCAATTACCCTACAGGAAAACCTACTGTTTTTCTGTTTCTACATATTTGTCCTAATGTATGTTAAACAAAATTTATATTGTACCCATGAGTATACAGTGATTTCATTTGTCCATTTCTGAAGTTATGAGGCTCACCTTTTTCACATTGTGAACTTCCAAATTGGCTGGAGTAATATTAACATGCTTTTTTTTTTATCCCAGGTGAATCAGGGCCTTGAATAAGCTGGGCAGTTAGACATGTGCTCTACCACTGAGCTGATATTTCTGGGCCACTAAAAACAAAATATTTTGAGATAAGCTAAATTGTCCAGGCTAGCCTTGAACTAGAAATCCTCCAGCCTCAGCCTCTGGAGTAGGTGGAATTGTAGGAGTGTACTTCCACACTGGACATGCATGCCACAGTTTATAACTGAATTAAATAGCAGAGGTTCTTTTCTATATGTTGTTCTCTTTTATGTCTCATAGTTATAAAATTTGAGAGAATGACATTGTATGGCACTGAAAAACAGAAAAATGTGCCTATGTGCTAGACCCTGATGTAATTTGTATAATCCAAGTCTAGCCTGCAGAATTTGAAGAGCAGATGTATGCATATGCCTGTGACATTCATCTTTGTCCAGACTGCTGACAATACAGACATTACTATAGCTCTTGCTCCCAGCCCAGGAACACTGTTATGGCTCTGCTCTCTATGGTTATTCCTGGCCCATATTCTAGGTCTGTGGTGAGCAGGATTCTCCTTGTGTCTTAACAGATGAGAAGTCTGGTTGAGTTATACATCTAATAGAGTGTCAGCGTGTCTCTTCTAAGTAAGGCCACAGGAATGCTGCAAAACAGAGCCAGCTTTGAAAGAGCACAAGAGCCCTGATGAATGCTCTAATATCTGCATTGTAGAGAATGGGAGTGTTTCAGACTACAAAACATCACAATAGGTGAGTTGAGACCATTGATATTGATGGATATTAATGACCAGTGATGGAGATTCAGATGGATCTCTGCCTCCCAAGTATAGGATTAAGGGTGTGCGCCACCACTGTCTGATCTATATGTCTAATCTAGTGGCAGGCTCTGTCCTCTGACCCTTAGGCAAGCTTTATTGGGATACATAATATATCACCACAACAAACACAAATAAATAAATAAATAGTAAGTAAGTTAAAAAGCAAAACAAAACAAAAGTCACAATAGCTGTAATTGTGTCCTGCTACCAAAAGGCCCAGAAGGATGAGCAGGTGCCTCTGGGTTGAGCAGTAACACTCAACTGAAATATTTGCTGAAAATTGAACCTCAGGTATCACATCCATCTACTTGCTAGATGAGCTAATTCCACTCCATTTGTGTTTCACTAAGCATCTTCCAGAACTGGAGGTTTTTATTTCGGTCTGATGTTGTTCCCGAGAGTTACTTTTCTCATTGTTGTGATGAAATACCTAAGAAGCAACTTAAAGAAGAAAGGATTGTTTTGCTTTTTGGGTTGGGGGACGCAGTCCATCATGTCAGGAGAGTTGGGAGGGGAGTGGGCAAGGCTCCTTGCTCACATCTTTGTGCATCAGGAGATGTGTCAGGCCTGGTGACGGTTAGTTTGTCACTTGATCCAAGCTGGAGTCATCTTGGAATAGGGGGCTTCAGCTGAAGAACTGACTCCATCAGATGAGCCCAGGGGCAAGCTTGTGAAGATTTTCGCATTGATGTTTGATATTAAAGGGCTCAGCCCACTGTGGGTGGTGCCATCTCTGGCATGTTGTCCTGAGGTCTACAAGAAAGCAAACTTGAGAAAGCCAGGAGGAGCAAGCCAGTAAGCAGCATTCCTCCATGGACTCTGTTTTAGTTCCTGCCCTGATGTTTCTCAGGATGGAATGTAAAATATAAGATGGAACGAGACCAAATTGCTTTTTGGTCATGGGGTTTTCATCACAACAATAAAAAGGAAACTAACACAAGGCCTAACCAGGGCCAGGCTGTGATCCAAAAAGCCCTTCCAGCAGCAGCCACTTCTTCCACATGGGTTCTCCAACAGTACCCCAGCTGGGAACCAAGCTAGAACCCAAGGGCTTGTGAGGGGCACTTCACATTCAAGCCAGAACAGACTTGACTTGAACGATTTCTGAAAGTAATTAGACTTCCATTTGGGCTCAAGTGACGCACTTCTTCTTTCTCAAAGCCAAGTCACGTCTTCAGTGGCTGCTGTTTTTCCATTTGTTACCGCACAGGAGTCAACATTAAAATTATTTCCTAGTCCACCAAGGCAACTTATCATTCCATGACAGAAAGGGGGCTACATTTCCTTTTCTTTCTGTGGGAAAGCAAAGTCCTGGTTTCCCTTGAAGGCATTTGCACATTTATTTGGAGTTCTGTGGTAAATTCCCCTCTTCTGTGTTTTGAAGGAGAGTAAGATGCCATACAGAACCCCTGGGAAGCACTTCAGAAGACTAGAAGCTGACTGGAGTTTTCCCTCTTTTTCTAGGTTTTTTTGTTTGTAAACAATTCATGGAAAGCTACCCAATCTGCATAGAAATGGGTCAGAGTTAAGGAAAGTTATCTAAAGCCAGATAATCTGAGTTCCAGGTAAGCACCTTACTCTTAGCTTTTCTGTGTTTTATTTATAAAACAGCAAGCTACGTGTATAATGTTTGCTGCAAGAATGTGTTATGGGGTGGCAAGATTAAATGAGCTAGGGTTGTGAAAGTACATTAATAACTCTTACAGGCCTGCACCGATGTATACAAACTAGCATGCTTCCTGAACCAATGAACAGAACTGTACTGGGGAGACTCTGGGGGCACGTCTGCTGCTCCTGTTCTCCTTGGGTAAGTATGGTCAGGTCACACTATTCTGAAGATGTGTATGGTAGGCCGTGCCTGCCTGAGGGCTCCCAGTGAGCCCGGGAATGCTTCTTTCTCCAGAGCAGAAATCCTAGAGTAGGAAAGACAGTGTTTTGCCTATTTGTCTCTAGATGGTGACCCCCTCCCCCCACAATGTCCATGTTGTATTGTCTCTTAGGTGACAAAAAGAATGCCATTGTCTGTTGTCACTGCCCAAATTTTAAATGTGAGGATCATCTCTAATCCTCAAACTCATGACCCTCTAGGAGGGCTCAGTATTCCAACACTGAAGAGCTCTCTGTGGGTTCTCTGTGTCCCAACTGCCAGACCTGGTTCACAGCAGACTGAGTGGCCACCACCAGGGGGAAGAGAGTGCCTGAGCTCAGGCCTGGACGTGCTGCCTGTCTGGTACCCCAATTCATTCAGACAGACATAGTTAGACCATTCTGTATTCTTTTGTTTCTCCATCACTGTGCACACCCCCCCCCCCGAAAGCTGGGGCTCAGAAGTCTTTCAGGGGTGTGGTCTCCTTCAGTACTCAAGGGTTTTTTTCCCAATCCTGAAGGGGTTGTAAGGCTTCACAGTTGTGACCATTCGAGACATTGGGGCCTGGTGACGGAAGCAGTCAATTTCCATTTGTTGTCGTAAAATGCTAGGATCAGAATGGGGACACGGAGAGAGAAAAATGACATAATTCATTAACATGAAAACAAATATTTCATCTTTTATCCAACTAACGCGCTACAGAAGTGGAAGGATAGAGGAGCCAGTAAGGGAAAGATGGGGTAGAGAGTAGCGTAGGAGAGGCTGGGAACGACCACCCCTGCTTGGTTTACTGTACCGCGTGCACTGCACTGTGTTCTGCTTCTGAGAACGTATCCTAGATTTATAGCAAATGCTTAGAAACGAGGTGGACATAAACCGACCCGAAAGCTGCTTTGGAAGCCCATGATGGAAGGACCAAGGAGATAGGTCCACCTCGGGAGGGAGAGGGGCATTTGGATGGAGTCTCCTTGGAGGAGGTGGCAGAGGAGGGTGGGTGGAGAACACATGGAAGGCAGGCACCTGAGGCTGGGGAGAGGCTGGGGAGTGAGAGACACACACAGGCTGGACAGCCACTGAACTAAGGAGCAGGTATGGAGTCTGCCTGTGTCTGCCCTGGATTGAAGCCGTCTGCTTGCTCAGCTATAACCTCACTCTGCCTTAGTTTGCCGGTCTGCATAGTAGGACTAAATCTACCCTACCAAACTTTTCCTAAGAATTGATGGAAAGAAAACTGGAAATATGGACTGCTATGAAGATAAGGTTTTATCCCTTGGGTTACTAGCCCAGAGCAGGGTTGGTGTGCATCATACCAATTATTACAAACAAACCCAAGAACCTTCTGTATGTAGACCTCCACTGTGAACGGGCCATGAGGTTGGTCATAAACACACACTGCAATGCTTGTGTGAAGCAAAAAGTTAGAGAGCCACTGTGGAAAGGTAACCCCCTTGCAGCCATGCAATCTGAAGTAGTTTAACATTTGGGCTGCAATTAACATGATAGTGTATGTATGCATCTTTTTAAAAAATGTGTTGTAGAAAATGGCACACTTCTGTGCAGGCCACATCCTAGAGTAAGGACCACACAGAGACCACCAGACTCTAACAGAAATACGAGTTGCTGAGAGGCGTGTTTGCAAACCTGTTCCTTCTTATCTAACTCAAGCATTTCCTCATCTACTCCTTGTGCATCTCTTGTCCTTGTTTCTTTCCTATATATTCTGCATCCTGCCCCCAGGATGAATCAGAAGGCACTTGGAGTTCACTACACCTGTCTTGAGATTCAGAATGGAGACTCCTTTTCATGGATCCTCCAAAGTCTAAGCAATTAAAAGGCTCGCTTTGGCCCCGAAGTCTTACCGAATACAAAGATTCCTGGCAAATGCACCACCCCTATCCTCGGTGTGGAGAGACGTCAACAGTCCCTTCTCCTGTCCCTGCATTAGTCCTCAACCTGGCAGGAGCCCCTCACTCTGCTGGTGCTACCAGAATCCAGATGGTATGAGATTAGGGAACAGCCTGGGAGAAAGTGGAAGTAGGGTGCTAAGAGCAGTTGTTTGCTTCCTCCAGAAGTTCAGAAGTCAAAAGAAGGAGAGGAGAAAGAGAGGATGGCAGCTTGGAGGGGCACAGTAAGGGTCACCGAAATGGATTTTTTCCCAAGCACCTGGCCAGTCAGCAGAGAGGAGCCAGATGCTAAGAAGTGAGCAGAAATGGAGAGGTTTCAGAGGTGAGAAGGAAGGGTGAGCCTTTCACAAGTGAGTGCACATCTTCTTAAGAGGAAGAGAAAGACTCAGTGATGGACTCCTGGGGAGGAGGGTGGAGTAGCAGAGGAAACAGGGCAGCCACTTGGGATGGCCCCGCTCTCTACAGGAGCATGGGGAAAGGACTAGAAGATTACGAAAGGCTTGGTAACAGCCACACCAGAGATATGTAGGCATCTAAAAAGAGAGGAGCAGGTTACAAAAGCACAGAAATCATACAGCAGAGCCAGCATACCAGAGTTCCCAGATAATGAGATGGCCAGAACAAAACACAACAGGAAACATGCATTATACCACACAGACACAATCAGAAGGGAAGCCGATCAAGCTTGTAGAGTCCTTGCCATATGCAGCAGGCAGATACATGGCCTTACACTTTCCCTGGAAATTTTCAGAAAAGCACTTAAACGGTGCTACAAAAATGTCAGCAATGTCAGAGATGGGGGCTTCATGGAGGAGAGCTTTGGTTGCTTGCCTTCCTACTAGAAGCCTCATCTTTATGTCAATGCAGAGATAGTCTAAATTCACACTCTTCCTTTCCCTCTGGACTGTGCTTTCTCAGGCTAGAGCATCTCAGGCGCTGAGGGTTTCTGTGTGGGCTGGCTGTGTGCTGTAGGCTGGGCAGATTGGAGTCAACACAAGTTGAGCTGAGGGAAACACTCCGGTTGTTGTCACTATTTCTGTCTGTTCTCCACTCTCAGACCAAGAGCCTCAGACAAGCCACCTAACAGGACTCCATGTCCTCACTCTGGGGTAATAAATGACATCCATGTGTGTATGTTGGAGAAAACCGTGGAAGCAGTCAGGAGCCTGATGGGATGGACGGGAACATCCTTATGAAAGAGTTGAGTTTTTTCTCTGGTTGCAGAACAAAGAGACACTTTTTAGCTTAGCAGTAGAGGTTTATCTGAAAGACAAAAGGAGCCTTCTGGCCCCTCTTGGATTGTCTGCTTGTGTAGCAGTGCGGATGTGTGGGAAGGTGTTACAGCAACAGGATGTCTGGGTAAAGCCTCACACAACTGGGGTTTAAGGAGGACTGCGGAGGAAATGGAGAGAGGTGAGAAACGCCTGTGTTTGCTCTAATGGAAGTCTAAATCATGAACCAGCCCCAGTCAGAATGCTTTACCTTCACTCTTTGTATCCTGATGGATACAATGATATGTTTAATGGTTGGCATTGTTTCTTTATGTTCTTCATATGCAACAAAATTGCAATTGTTTCAGTGCCTACCAGCCTTGCTTTCAGAAATGGATTTGTAACATTTGAAATGTGTCTTGACATTAACCTTGGCAATAATATTTCGGATATCACACCAAAAGCTGAGGCTACAAGTCAAAAAATAGATGGGGATGTAGCAAATTAAAGCCCCTGCAGAACAAGGAAACAATAAGATGAGAAGACAACCTAAGGATTGGGAAAAATACTTGTGACCTATATGTCTTCTAAGGGTTAACATCCAAAGATATACAAAACACTCACGCAACTCAACCACAAAAGCCCCCAACAAGTAAAGGACCTGCATAGATATTCTTCAGAAAAGACATAAAACTGTGAGGGAAAAAAGCATGTGAAAATGTTCCAAATCACTAACGACCTGAGAATGTAAACAAAAACTCAATGAGATATTGTCTCACACTCAGTAGGATGGAGACTCTTATCAAAAGGAGAAGAGACAGGGAACACCGGAGAGACTGGAGAAGAGGGAGTCCTTCACAATGTGGAAGGGAATGTAGATTGGTGCATCATTAAGTAAATCAGCATGGGAGGCCCTGGGCACATAGGAAATGAAGTTCAGAGATGATCCAGCAACCCCATTTCAGGTACATTCGCATCCAAGGATATGAGAACTGCTTCAAAGAGACACCTGTACCACATGTTCATTGCTGTCCCTAATAGCCAAGATATGGATAATCCAGGTGCCTATTGATGGATGAATAAATTATGACATGAATACACATATCAAAATCCCCTCTCCTGAATTATTCTTCAGTCTTTTTTTTTTTTTTGTTTTGTTTGTTTTGTTTTGTTTTTCGAGACAGGGTTTCTCTATGTAGCTTTGCGCCTTTCCTGGAACTCGCTTTGTAGACTAGGCTGGCCTCGAACTCACAGAGATCCACCTGCCTCTGCCTCCCAAGTGCTGGGATTAAAGGCGTGCGCCACCACCGCCCGGCTTATTCTTCAGTCTTATACAAGAGGCTGAATAATATAAAAAGGAGATTCTGACATTTGTTATGACGTGGGCAAACCTAGAGCTCATTAAGTGAACAACCTAGAAATAGAAAAAAAATCTTGTACGATCGCATTGCATGTGAATTTATATTTAAAAAACTAAATATACAAAGGCAGAGAGCAATGGTTAGAAAGGATGGATGATTAGGAGGAGGAAATGGAGGGATGCAGGTCAGAGAGAGGATAAGCCCCACCAATAGAAAAGAACAAGTCTAGAGATCTAACACAACATGAGGACTATGGATAATAGCAGTGTACTGCATTCAGAAATTTTATTTTTGAGTAGATTTTAGCTGTTCATGAAAAACTGAGAGATGATGGCTATGCTCATTTGTTTGACTATATAACCATTTCATTATCTATATATGTATCCTATAACACCATTTTCCTTTAGATACACACAGTAAATTTTATTTTTTTAAATTATACATATAAATATTGAGATTGGAAAAAAATGTCTTGGAAGTAAATGAAATTGAATTCTAACTATTAGCCTGAAAAGCACTGACCTCCTATAGAGATGTTCAGCACTAGGTGGCTGGGTATTCAACAGGGTTGTCAAACCAGAGATTCAGATATGCCGAGAAAGCCCACTGTCAGTCGGTGCCTTTCCTCTAATGTTGCACTTACAGAAGAGGCCTTGTGGGATGGGGAGTGCACAGAAGGCTTGACGTGGCCCTTTCCACACTCCCAAGGGTCCCTCTACCCTTAGCGGGGCTGCTGTCACCTGGCCCTCAAATATCTGAGACCAAGTAAGTCCTTTCCATCCAAGAGTCACTCCTGGAGTCACTCCACTGGGAGATCTTCTTCAGCACCCCAACAAGCCCTTGCAGCTCGTAAGTGCATGCCTCAGTTTCCTTGTGTGTGAAATGCAGTTGGGAAGAGCCCCTTCTTCGTCGGTTACCCAGAAGTGACATCAACTGAGTGTCCAGAATGATTGTCCCGTTTATTCTGGTTACCATCCTTTGCTGCAGTGTCTGTCTTGTTCACTTTCTTGCTTTCTCCTTGTGAGTAAGCCGTGCTCCTACGAGTTACTGGGACACTGTCGGTGTGTGATAATATAATCAGAGAATGTGAGAGTTAAACAAAAATCGACGGGTGAATAGCAAAATGAACAGCTGGGTGTCCCTCTTTTGGATGCTGCTCCCATTTATAGCTGCTGCTTTCCAGAATATTCCAGTCCTTGGAAGGAGGAGCTCTACTTAATGGCCAAGTCCTAGTCTCAGTCCTCAGAAAGCCCTTCCGAGCCACTGAGCGCAGACTCCAGATTCCAGCATTATGAGATTATGACATAATGACACCTCTATGACATTAGCCTGCTTCAGGACACCCAAATTATTCTATTTCTTCAGTTACTTGTAGTTTTTGTTGTTTGTTTGTTTGTTTGGAGACAGGATCTCAGGATCTAGCCCTGGCTGACCTGGAACTTTCTATGTAGACCAAGCTGTCCTTGAACTCATAGAGATATGCCTGTCCCTGCCTTCCAAATGAGTGCTGGGATTAAAGGCATTTGTCACCGTGACCAGCCTTCTTGTGTTCTTTAGTGTCTATTTCACAATTCTGGATTTGGATTTAAGTGTGGGGACATGCACATTCAGTGCCTGACCCAAGCTGAGATAAACATGTGATAAGTGGAATATTCCTCTACTGAAAGAATGTGATCTACAGAAAATGGCACCCTTAGGGGAGGGCTCCCCATCATAGCTTGTTCACTTGCATAGGCTAGCCTTAGTCTCAGGTAGCACCTGCATTTCCAGAACACTGTAGTCCTTTTTGTTCAAGGCCAGGACTTCTCCCAAGTGCTTCCAAATTTGGGGTGTGATGAGAATAGTGTGTTGCCTCTCACCACTTATTGCCAATGAAGCATTCCTCCCTCTTTCCACTCACTGCCTTCTGTTTCAACTTGCAAAAAACGGGCATTCAAATACATGTGAGTTTCAACAGATTTTTTTTTCTTCATAAAAAAGACATTCACAAGAAGCAAATGCATGGTTCTTGTTGCACACACTAGGTAGCATGTAGCTTTGACAACAGCAGATTAATTATGATGCATGTGCACAACTGGGTGGGGGAGGGTCTCAGAGGTGAAGATGCTTTCTTATAATATGCTCGAAATAAGAGCCTTAAGGGACCACCATTAGCACTGTCAACAGGACCATTAACCTGCATTTTTTTCCAAGACAATTCTGAGTAAAGTTCCCCTCAGTAAGAAAATGAACTGCTTTCTTTTTTTCAGCTCGACACTCCATTTTTCTTAAGCATTGCAAATTTTCTCTTAGTATTTAATTGTTCTTTAATGGAATAACCATAATTATCATTTCTCTTTCTAATGCATGTGAGCAAACTGAGTAATAGGATTCCTACTTACCGACTCATCTCTGAATCTGGTGATGGGGTTGTTGATGGAATATTAGAATTTGTTGGGTGGGTGGCTGTGAAATGAACCTTGCCGGTGTATCCTGGAATATTCGCCGCACTGAAGTCAAGAGGGAGAAGAAGGGCATGAAAGGAGATTAAAATAATGATTTGTGAAATAGTCATAGTCACTAGGCGCAAATATAAAAAATAGGAAAGAAGATTCAGTCCAGTTGTTTTTCCTTCATAAGCTTGGGTAAATAACCAGGAGAGGAGGCACAGGTATGCATGCATAGACAGACAGGCAACATTTCAACTCTGACACTAAAATACTTACCCTTCAAGTGTGTTTTCACTATTATTTTAAGTGTGTATGTCCAGGCTTACCACTGACCTCAGTTGCATACTGAAGGAAGATGTAAGTTTTGACAAAACAGTGGATCTATGCCACACAAGACTTTGTACTGCAAACTCTGGTATTAATGAAGACACATCCATGTGCTAACACTCATGGTGTTTTTGGTCTGATGTATTTCTTGTCACCCTAGTATTTCATATCCTTGATTTCAGACACTTTTCTGAAACTCTGCATTGACCGTCCATGTAAACCCACACAGTAGCTTCCCATTGACTTGTTTATTTTATACCACCCATTGGTCTGTTTCCGCCTCTTTCCCTGCCACAGACAGAGTGAGAAAAGTCAAACACTGGGGAAGGCTCTGTAGTGTGTACAGAGAACACCTCTCAAGCAAAGGCAGTCAACCAACAACCTAGGATAATTTAACTCAGTCATTCAGGAAAACATGAAAAAATCACTAATATGCTTGTCTCGATGACATTCAAAATGGTTTACCCAGATGGCTTCCTGGGAGGAAGGAGAGGGTGAAGCACAGGGGCCCACATGAGGCTCAAGTGTGGAGGTTGCTTATAACATGCTGCCTTAGCTACCATGAGCACAAGAAAAAAAGAAGTAAGATTTAAAGGCACACCAAAGGGCACTGGCACATGGCAGGTCACCAAGCCCAGAGCTGACGCCCATCGAGTACTGCTGTCACAGCCTGCCGCCGCCTCACAGCAGACAAATTACAGCCACCATCACAAACACATAGGAGTTGCAACTTTTCAGCTGTGTGGTTTGTGCCTCCCTTCTCTTGGGACTTTCTTTGAGAATATGACATCCCAAACTTATTTCTTACTCAAAATTTACACTAAGACTAAATACAGGGCTACTAAATACAGCCAAATGTCTACTGAAGGAGAATGCCTTTCTGTGGATGCCCTGCCTTTGTCCTTTCTACATAGCCAATGCACCAAACAAAACCTGCCCTGGGAATGATTTATCTTTGGAGAACTTTTTTGCAAGGTGGCGCTCAAGGCAGGTTGCTTCTTGTTATGGACTGTGTCTTAAACATCATCCAAAGGCCCCTGTGTTGACAGACTGATTTTCAGTGTGGCGTACCATTAGACGGCTTTGGGAGATAGGGTCCATAGAGGGCGAGTTAGGTTGCTGGGGGAGTGCTCTTAGGAGGCTCTTAGGAGGTTGCTGAGAGGAGGCCTCTGCTTCCTGGTTGTGCTGTGAACAGACTTATCCAGGATCTGTTACTTCCATGGTGTACCGTGGCACCACAGACCCCAAGCAACATGGCCAAGGACCATGGATTGAAACCTCTAGTTCTGTGAGCCAATGTGTGTGTGTGTGTGTGTGTGTGTGTGTGTGTGTGTGTGTGTGTGTGTGTGTGTGTGTATTATAGTTGATGCCTTATCTGAGGAATTTATTTCTTATTGACAGAAATCTAACACTTCTCAGGAAGTTGGAAAACAAAAGAGATGTCAGCGAGACAAGTGCATGCTCTAGTGTCAGAGCGAAGGTAGAGGTCTAGTGATTCCCCTTATAAGCCCTGGGATCTGGGGTCTGGATCCTTGTACATTATTGCCTCAGCCATGACATCAGGGAGTGGTATAACCTAAAGGACTCATACAATTCATACTGTAATTTCTTGGTGTTGTTCTTACGTTGATTATGTGTTAGTAACAGAATGTTAGGGAAAAATTATGCAGTAAGCAGGCAGTTGCTCTAATAAAGCTCACAGCTGTCCTTTGAATGTGTCATTCTATTCTATTCTATTGGTGATGGCTTACTGCCTTAAAGCTAATCAAATTGGGGACACCTCTACACTTACAAAACAAAGGAAAATCACATCAAGAGCCACCAGTCAGAATAAATAATATGAACTAATGAATTTTCTGAGGCCAGGAAGTGAACATCTAAAGACAAGGCCCTGCATTGAGAGGGTGGGAAGGTCTGCTTCTGCAAGCTTGCCTACCCCTCACCACCTGTGAGATGGTACCAACCATAGGGAAAACGCTCTTGCCCCCAGCCCAGCCAACTGCTGTTGAAAGAATTGCTGTTGAAAGAGACGAGACAATTTAAAAAAAAAAAATGAAGTATTTACAAAAAAGAAACTTCATAGGTTAAGAATGCAAAATTCATACAGTATACCCAGCTGTAAAGATTTGCAGGTGGTTCTACACACTGAAATCTCCTTAGTAATTTAAAAGGTGGTGATATGTAGCACCAACTTCCAATATTTGAACTAAATCAAGAATGCTGGGACCTGGGAATCTGGGCTCTCCATAATTCTCAAAGGTTCTAGAATAGGGTGAGGATCAGGAACCTGCTGTAAAATGAAGTTGTGAAGTCTTTAGAAGGACCTGGAGGAGTGAGTGAAAGTTGCCAAGTTCTGGGCCCTGTCCCTTGGGATTTCTCGGGAGTTTCTTAAGAGTAGCTGTAAGGTGGAGAGGTACCAGAGAGGAGGCCAAACTACTGATGTGTGTGTGTCTCTTCCCCCAAGCATTCTTTGAAGCTTCCATGCATGTTACCAAGGAAATCCCCTCCATCTGGGTGACAGGTTTTTTCCACTGCCTCTGAAACACCTGCAGAAGTAAAGTGCCTCTAAAGTCAGAGTCCTCAGCCCGCAGCTAGGAGGTCAGAGAGATGGACACAAGCATGCTGTCAGTCACGAGAGGGGCTTCATTACAAACCCCATGCAGCTCTGTGAGCCTCTGCCTTGAAGACTATTTATTGATCTTGACTGACAGCTGTGTTACACTACATAAAGGCTGTGCTGTGACACATCCTATCTAACAATGACCTACTGTGAACTAGTAGACCTGACCCAATAGCTGCTTCGGCTGAGGACGAATTCAGCTGCATAATAAAGTGACACATATTTGAAAATGAAAGTTCTCACCCACGCTCTTCTAAATATATTTCCCTTAACCCTGGCCGACAGGGCCATCACAAGAGGACATTTGTGCCCTCTTGTGAAATAAACACTTATGTACACTTGCCATATAAGTCCACCCTTATATGAGGGAAAGAAAGACGACTCTCTGGGACACCCGAGCTGCTTCTAGGAGGGGATGTTTTTCAGCTGAAGGAAATAAAGCCACGAAAGGTACTGAGACAATGGAATGGACCCCTCCATTTGCTGCATGTTCAGGGAACCCTACCTGCCCACGTGAAAACAGAGGGGCATCAGCAACCCACGGGCGCTGACACTACATTTGTTTTTATCTTTGTTTCTAGCTTCTTGGCCTTGACCACATCTTTTGAGCCCCAATTCCTTCATGAGCGTGGGTTTTGTTTTGTTTGAATATTTTGTTAGCTAAGTTGACACTTGTTTGTTTCATTACAATAAAGCACAATAAAGTAAAAAAATTAATGATTTCAGAAGATAAATTAGCAGTACTAGCAATCTTCCTGGATAAGCCCCCTGACTGTTTGTTGTGCTTCCAGGCATGAGACACCATGTCCAGTTCATCATAATTATATACACATGTTGTATAATACTTACAGGTTAACACAAATAAGGGGAAATACACTTTAAAGTAAAGTAGAAAATGAGGAAAATATATTTTACATACAGCATGGAAAAAGCTATGTTGTATGTAGACTATATGTATTGCCTACATATTTAATTTATACATACAAGTTTCCCAATATACTATAGACTTCACTCTCATTGTGTATAACAAATTTTCCTTTAAAATTATTCATATAATTTAGGCAATTTTCTCAATGATTCTATACCTTACATTGTATCATGTGCATGCATTATACAATAGAATAGAAAGAATAGAATAGAGACAAAATAATCTACTCAGAGTCAAGCAAGCTTCAAGTGGCAGGACCAGTCCCAGCCTGAAAAGCCTGGGCATCAGAGCTCGCACAGTGGACTGTATCTGAAAAATCCTGGCAGGTTCTCAGCCAAGCCAGTAGGATAACATATACACATTTGTTATTGCCCTGAGGTACTGGAGACTAAACCCAGGACATTATGCACACTAAACACATCCTCTATTGCTGCGCAGTAAACTCAGCCCATCCATTTGAAAACACAAACATCTGAAGGCTTGAAGAATCTAAGTGGGCAAAGACCATGGTGGCCAAAAAAGAAGATAGCCAATGACCAGCTGGGTGACCTCAGATCCAGGTGAAAACTCCCCTCCCCCCACACTTTTTTTTTCTTCTTGTTCTGAATCTTACTAGGTAACTCGAGCTGGCTTTGAACTCCTGGCACTTGCTGGGCTTCCAGCATGTCCAGTTCATCTTACATTTTTATTTTACTAAAAGATTTAATTTTACATAAAAATGAAAAGATTTCTTATTTTTGATATGTCTTTGCATGTCTTTGGATTTATGTGCATGTGAGTGTAGTGGCCACAGAGGCCAGAAGGTAGCATTGGATCCCCTGAGATTGGATGTGCAGACAGTTGTGAGATGCCTGATATGGGTGCTGGGAACTAAACTCAGGCCCTCTGGAAAAGCTGCAACGCTCTTAACCATCAAACTCATCTCTCCAGTTTCACACAACCAGTCGAAATGGAAACTTTCTGAGCCATCCTCAACTGTACCCTATCCAGGGTCACTGCACCTTCCTTGAAGGGCCCTGGGGGGGGGCATGTGGTGCAGGTGAGGAACTATCATGGCATCACTCATCACATGCAGAATCAACAAGAGGAACTCAGATGTGTGGCCGGGGGGGTGGGGGTGGGTGGGGGCAGCTCAGGACAGCCAGGGGAAAGTGGATGAGAGAGAAGGATGGGCCCAGAGGATGA